CTGTCCGAAGCTATTCGCCCTGCCAGCTTCTGTACCTGTTTCTTGTTGTTCAGTACCTCAGGTATTGAGTCTATGGCCTTGATCTGATCCGGGTTGACCTCGATGCCTCGTTGTGACACAAGGAAACCCAGAAATTTTCCTGAGGCTACACCGAAGGCGCATTTTTCCGGATTCAGTTTCATCCCGTACCGCTTCAATATCTCAAAGGTTTCTTTCAAGTGACCGATATGGTCTTCTTTCTTGGTCGATTTCACCGGCATGTCATCGATATAGACCTCCATTGTCTTGCCGAGTTGTTCCTTGAACATCTTGGTAACTAACCTCTAGTATGTGGCCCCCGCGTTCTTGAGTCCGAATGGCATCACATTATAGCAGTAAGTCCCTTGGTGGGTGATGAAAGTTGTTTTCTCTTGATCCTCCTCGGCCATTAGGATGTGGTTGTAGCCGGAGTAGGCGTCCAAGAAACTCAGCAGTTCGTGTCCCGCTGTTGCGTCGATCAGCTGGTCGATATGGGGCAATGGAAAGGAATCTTTTGGACATGCCTTGTTCAGGTCGGTGAAGTCCACGCACATTCTCCACTTGCCGTTTTTCTTCTTGACCATGACCACATTAGCGACCCATTGGGGGTATTTCGATTCTCTGATGGAGCCGTTAGCCAGTAATTTGTCCACTTTTTCACTGACCGCCTCGTTGATTACGGTATTGAATTTCCTCCTCATCTGCCGCACGGGCGGATAAAGCGGATCGACATTCAACTTATGAGTGGCGATGTCTTTCGGGATCCCCGGCATATCTGAGTGCGAGAAGGCAAATAGATCGGCATTGTTAGTCAAAAATTCACGATACTTACCTGGCTCGGAGAGGTTGTGTCCGATATAAGCCTTTTTTGTATTGTCGGCGTCGTCCAGGTGTACCGGGTCGAGATCTTCAATGGTTGCCTTGCAAGCTTCTACAACGTCGGGGTCTATGATGATCTCTGCTGGCGGGTCGGTTTTAGCTCCCGACATGGTTGATTGCTATGCCTCCGTGCTTGCCTCTTTTAACTGTTTGGTATGCGTCCAATCTTGGGCGATCCTGTAGCATTCCTGGGCGGTACGCGGCTCTCCTGGAATGCTGAAAATTCCTCACGGGGTGGGAAACTTGATTACCTGATATAAGCTTGAGGGGACGGCTCGCATGGCGTATATCGATGGGCGTCCTATGATAGCATTATAAGCGGTTTCCTGGTTCATGACGTGGAATGTAGTTTCCAGCGTGACTCCCCCAGCCAGGATCGGCAGTGTTATTTCTCCAGATGTCCGCTCTACTGCATTATTAAAACCCGTTAGTGTTATGCAACGTGGTAATATCTTTTCCTCGAGCTTCATTTGCATGAGAACTCTTGGGTGGATAATACACGCGCCGCTTCCGTCGTCTACCATGACTCTTTTCACAGCATCGTAATGAGGGAAAGACAAACCGTCGGCATCTGACTTTTCGAAGGTGATACTATCTTTGAAGCCATCATACCGTTCGTGAGTGATTGTACGCTTCAGCTTATGCGTGGTGGTGGACTTTATGTGGTTGATCACCGAGTCGTCGCCACCACTGATAATAATTTGTATGGTACGTGCCGGCGACGGTGGCCTGGGTGGTCCTTGAGATGGGTCACGCCCTCTAGCGAAGTTAGCCTTTCCTTTATCGCTGAGCAGTTCTTTCAGGTATCCCTGGTTCAGCATTCTGACCACCTCCTATTGTAAACCTATGCAGTCTTCGGTCTTGTGTCCTCTTTCCTGATGGAATTCGCAGAGTACGTTCGACCTTCTTGCACTTGGGTCCGATTTCATCTTTAATGGCCATTGCAGCTTCGTGCCCAGCTTCTCTAGTGCGTACACTATTTCTGAAGGGTAAACACAAAAGTTATGAGCAGATAATAATGGGGGCATACCTCTTTCGTTTCGAAGGGGCGCGATATGTCGTGACACGGCGTCTGTATGCCTCGAGGGAGGTGGATTAGGAGTTATGACATAGGGCTGATGCCTTTCTCTGTTGAAGCGTGGGAGCTGATCCCTTCGTCCGTCGCTGCGTCGATCTCTCCTTATCTCGGACTGTACTGACGTTAGTCGCTGGGTTGGACCGTTGAGATCGTCTTCATCTGCTCTTACGTTAGTCGCTGGGTTGGACCGTTGAGATCGTCTTCATCTGCTCTTACTTCGGCGCAGTAGTCATTATGGATCTCCTCCCATGTGGTGGGAGGGTACTTCATGAGTCTGTTGAGTAACTTCTTGGTCGCCTTCGACCCGCTTCTGCTTAGCCCGTTCTGGAAGGCTGCGACCGCCATTCCTTCCGATACATTCGGCAGTCCCATTCTTACCCTATTAAACCGGGCTAAGAAGTCCCGAAGTCCTTCGCCCGCCGTTTGCCTGATGGCGAAGATGTCGTTGACCCTAGCTTCAGCCTTCTTTGCTCCTGCGTGAGCGGTAGCGAATTTATCTGCCATCTCCTCGAATGTTGATATCGACTGTGCTGGTAGCTGAGAATACCATGTTAACGCTCCTCTTGTCAAAGTTTGACCGAACTTTTTCAACAGCACGGATGTCACTTGTTCTTTTGACAAGTCGTTGCCTTTTACCGCGGTGACATAATGAATCAGGTGATCTTCTAGATCCGTGGTCCCGTCGTATATTTTCAAGTATGGTGGCATTTTGAAGGTTTTCGGGATGGGGTGGGGAGCAGCTTCCTCACTGTACGGTTGCTCGACAAATCTTCCCACATCGCGCTTTGGCAGCAGCTTAGGGGCGCCGGGTATTTTGTCAACCCTTTCCTGGTGTTCTTTCATTTGGTCACGAAGCATTTTGTTCTCGTTTTCCATTTCTTCCATTTTCTTTAGGATGGTCGCGAGTGCACCATCACTTGCATCGGTGATAGTGCGGATGTTGCTTGTCCGTACAGTGCTTGGCTCGCCGGCGACAGCAGCGATTTCCGCCGTCGGCGATTCTCCGGTATTTCCTTGAGGGGTTTTTTCAAGCATGGTGTTTAGAGCGCTTGTCAACCACTCCTCTAACAGCTTTTTGACTGTTGGTGGTGTTTCTTTCACCGTGGACGTTGAAGTTCCTCTTTCGCGCAAGATTGTCAGATCCTTAAGTATAGAGGGTGAGATCTCCCCCTCCGGTGTACCTCTTGGTGTTATATTCTCGGTATCTTCTCTACCGTCTTCGTTGAGGGAGTCCAAGAGGTTGTTTGAGACATTCGCTATCACCTTCAACCTTGCTTCTTTCTCTACCATCGCCGGTTTCTATGGAGTGCAAAGGATAGAGATCGTTGCTTTTGATATCCCAGGTAAGAACTATGATTTCGACTACAGAAATCCCTACAGACGGCGCCAAATTGTTTGATTCAAAAGATGTTAAGCTCTTTTTAAGCAAATCAATCAAAGAGATGAAGGGGTAAATCATAGTCGAAGATAATAAACCCTAAGATTGTTTCAATAATCGGGACAGTAATAATGATAAAAGAGGGAGAGAGAGAATGATAAAGATCAGAGAGAGAGAGAATGATAAAGATCAGAGAGAGAGAATCAGTTTTTTCTATTCCCCAGTCTCCTTTATTACAAGGCTCGGATCCCCTTTATATAATGGGGGATCTAAGTTGAGTCATGAGAACGACAAAATCAGTGTACTCTATGGTGGAGCGGATGACAGGTCGAGGTCGTTCCTCCTCTTACCCCTGGGTCGTTCCTTCGTATTGTATCGTAAACATTCAGTGGTTGGTCATGTTGACGGTAGGACGTGATTGGTCAAATTCGACCCCATACATATACCATGACAATTTTTCGGTTATTCTATTATGCATAACCAAAATTAAACTTTGCGAAACTGTCCCAATCATGTCGGTTTCTCTTCGGTATCGGTATGGTTTAGTTAGCCACTAGTAGAAGTAAAATGCAATAACATACGTACTTTTATAGGATTAGCAAAACTTTCTAGATATTTTTACTGTTTAAAGGGTGATGAATTAATAAAACATGAAAGATGGATAGAGTATAGATCCATCAATTATTCTACAGCAGCGTAAATAAACTAATCAAAGAACAAGAAAATATAAATCACACGAGTAAAAATATATTAATCAAGTTAAGACTCAAGAATAAAGTCTATAGAAGATTAAATATTCAAAAAGATAAATCTAAATCATACATAAGAAAAATATTCAATACATTATAGTTTGCTACTCATAATCGCTAGAATACTTTGTGTCTTGCTAGTAAATATGCTGAAAATAATTTAGTTTTACTAGGAGTAGCATAATAGGTTTGGGAATTAGGATTTTGAGTTTAATTATTTGTTGTCTTGTAACCATTTTCATAATTCCAAGGCCCAAGGAAAATTTTGATGCTTTATTATTTTTGAACTTAATATATAAATACATTTTTCACATGTATTTTTTTTTGGTGCGGTTGGTATATTTTCGGTTTATTTTCATAAAATAAAAAGCCTAACCTAATTATATTTACGGTTATAGATTTATATAAAAACCTAAGGTTTTATTAAAAGAAACCTAAAATTGGTTCGATAAGGTACAGTTCGGTCGGTTTAGTTAGTTTTTAAATAGCCATAGACACCCCTACTTTTTGGTCTTTGGCACACCCCTTAAGAAAATACTAACTCCTAAAAAGAAAAAATCTTTTGACTAAATTATCTTTAATTAAAATTTGTATATTGTTAATTTGGCACATTAGGATATGTAAATAAAGGTAAATTTAAAAAACTAAAATTAATTCATTCTTGATTTTATAAAAAGGATGACCCAAAAATAAAATACTAAAATATCTCTTATTATAGACCGGAAGGAGTACATATTTTTCCATTTACCCACTTTTTAGTATGAAATGTGATTAGCAGTTAGCTAGAGGATTTTTTCAGAGGTTAAATCCCGGAAATAAATTTGACATGATTAAAGACCAATAGAAAAGAACTATCAGGGAAAAAAAATATTATACATAATACAGGGACCATTGTGTAATTTACCTGAATAAAATCTACCTTAATACACCAGTGCAGCGCCGCCACTTTCCCTGTCGACGGGCTTGAATTCTTCGTCGCTTCTTTCGAGCTGAGCTCAGTACGACAAAGGTTGCCTTCTTTATTATTTTTTCATCTCAAGTTTCGCACTTCTCATTGCTGCCACCAGAATTTCGTAGTTATTTTAGTTTTTTTTTTGTTTTCAGTTAGCAATGAAGGCGTTCGAAGTTGGTGGAACCACCCTTTGTCTTGCCCTTTTCAGCGATGTTACTAATTCTAAGTACGTTATATTCTCTCTGATGTCTTTATACAACTAATTAAGTCTGGAATTCATTTTTGTATGCCTATATTTTGATTAATTGTTGGTAATTATGTTGTGAATGATTACTAAAGGGCCTATCTTTTTAAAAATTATGGTAAAACTTACTTGGCTTTCCCCTATAGCTTGGATGTAAGTTGCTTGGCTGTTAACACAATGGCTTAAAGATGCAGAGGTAAATGTGCTTTATCGAAAAATCGAAAATGTCCGCAAGCAACTCTGACAACTAGCCTGTGCTAAATCCAAAACAATTAAATCAGAAACAGAATCCTAAACGATACCCAATGAGAAAAAAATCCTAAATTAGGCCGAAATTGAAGTTTCTAGACATAAAACAACTGACTTTAGTACGCCATAATGCCTGCATCAAAGAATCTTCATCCGGGGTCTGCATTAGGCCGTGATGTTGTCAAGGTGATGAAGATGGGGATAAAAAATGTTGTCTAATAAAAAAGGAGACCAAGAAAAATTGCGTTCCTATGAGTAAATGCTTGTGATACTAGAACTCATGCTCTATCGAGTAGTTATCCGATTCTGAAATTGGTTTAAACAGCAGCAAATGCTAGTTACGATGGGTTCCAGTGAAACCAATTTAGTCATTAGTAAGGCCGAAGTCAATGGGGTTACTACTGGGGAGAAGTTGAAACCTCGAGAACGTGGTTTTCCTGTAAAAAAAGATTGACTTTTAGCATATGAGAAGGTAAGAAATAGTAAGAGCTGAAATTTTATTGAAGAAAAAGAAGAGGATAGAAGGAGAAAAGCAATAAGGAAGAAGGGAAATAACCGTTGGGAATGGAATTTTTTTTTAAGGAAAATGGTAATTTCAGCCTTTATTACCTGAAATGATCTGATGTGGCATTAGAATTACTCTCTCACGCGCCGCCTTGTATCATTTGAAACCACTTGTTGTGCCAGGTGGCGCTTTGGGGTGTCTAAGCTATCAAATAGCAAAGTATCAGGGGTTAATTAGGACCAAATTAATCCAGCTGTGCACGGAATAAACGGGGCTAAGTTCAGGAGAGAACTTCTCTATCTTTCGATACAAAAATGAACACAATTCTGTTGAATGGGGGACTTATCCTGTAGAATTATCATACTAATTAGTTTGAGGCCTGTTGCTATACATAGCTATGCTGCAGTAGCTTGCAAAAGCCCAACAGTATAAAGAAGATGTAAAAAATTGATCCATGACTTTTACTCTGTCACTAGATTTACTTATATCCTGATTCAGTTGTATCCAAAATATCAAGCGCTTCCTTTTCAGGAATTAGTAGACTACATAGTTGCACTTTCAGGCTTTCTTCTGATTGCTTCATGTGCAGTAAGTACTAGAACTTATCCCCTATGCTGCCTAAACCCCCACCCCCCAGCTAAAAGAAAAAAGACTGCACTCAGCGCTAGAAACAACATGGGATTAATTCATGTTTTACCTGAAAACTATACTCTACTCGGCATTAGGCATCTAGAAACAGTGGTGAAGCCAGGAAGTTTACTAAGGGTATATATGTATAAGAAGTAATATTTGACCTATATACACAAAATAATTTTTTGGTGAAGGGTATTCAGCTGACCACCCTTGATCCTATGTGGCACCAATGAGCTAAACTAATTCACAAATCAAAAAGAGCAACAACAACAACAACAACAACAACAACAACAAAATTTGTAGACAAAAAGTGTGCATCTTTAGGGAGTATAATTTTTAGGGGTATTGCCCAGAAGAAAATTGTTGTACTGTTGTGTTTAATTGAAAAATCTTTCAGAACTGCTTGTATTGTGCAATCTTAGGTTTCCTGTGATCCAATTTTTGGGTGGCAGCATGGAAAAGTTTGCTTTGCCAAAAAGGGAAGATGCTCATTAAGTTCTAATTGAAGTAAAAGATAATATCAGCAAATGCGAACAATTAGAATCAGAAAAATAAGTTATGCTTAATACAAAACTACATTAATGGCTAAAGTTAAGACAAACCTAAGAGAATTCATCTTTTGCAGAGAACTACTGGATTTGATGCAGTCAGCAACTTTGGAGCCAGAAGTAGCATTTCTGAATGCATCACTTGTAAGTACACTCTTCACTCTCTCATTCAGAGCTCACTAGTTTTTGCTTTGTGCATTTCAAGCTGATTTCATTTTTGGGCATATTTCAACAGATTCCAGATGTATTTCCTGTTTTGGCAGCTGCACACAAGGCACTTGTAGCTAAATCACGGGATTCACTGACTACACGGACCCTCCATTCTGAGCTTGTTTACAACTACTCAGGATCTAAGCATGTAAGAAGATTTAAGGCTAATCTAATGATTGAATGGATGTTATCTTTTTGTGGTCCATTGACTTTTACTTTGCTTGATCATAGTAGATATCAGAGTCTTTGAAAAGATGTGGCATTGCAGATAACACAAGCTACATCCTTGCAGCACGCTTTGGTGCTTCGGCTGATGAGGTGAGGCAACATTGTTTATGCACCCGAGTTGATTTTTTGACTTCTTTTTCTTGGCGGTAATGATGTGTTCTTACTTTGCAACTAGATGGTGGCCATAGAAAAACTCATAAAGGGCAAGGAGATTGACTTGAAGGAATTGGAACAAAGAATAAACCAAGCTCAGATTCAAAAGGTGGGTGGATAGTTATCTTTCAGAGTGGTTTGCGGAGTATGGTCATGCTTCCTTTTTTCATTATGAATTAATGATTTGTAATTTGATAGCATTACAAGATATCTAATCTGGAGCTGGAGATATCATCACTTGCTGATGCCATAACCTGCAGAATTGCTGCCCGAGATGCTTTATGAGAATTGCACGCCTACGCTGCTAATTATTTTATCTTTTTCATTTGTAAACTATTGTCTGAGAAATAACTTCCCGAACCTTGAGTGAAAATACCATTTTGCTACTCTGATTGCTTCATAGGCGCTATTAGGTCCCTGATAAACGTTCGCTAATGTTTATTTCGTTTGGTTTGCTTATGTTCAATGTCTAAGAGATTCTATAGGAACTAGTGATGGCTAATGGTTTACTTACATATAATTTTAGAGTCAGAAAACTATTTTTGTTAATTGAATTAATTGAATGTTGCTCATTTTAAAAGTCAAGTTACCAAATCTTTTCTTTTTTGTTGAGAATGAAGTCACGAAATCTTATCTTCTATAGCAGTATAATGATAAAATTATCTTTTGTCATGTTAAAGTAACTAAATTTTATCTACTACAAAAATAAAGTCACAACATTTTGCCTACTATGACAACAAAACCTCCTATCAAGGTAATTTTACTCTTAAATGGGTAAATTTTTGTGATTTTATTGTTATAATGAGTAAGGTTTTGTGGCTTTGTTGTTGTAATAGAAAAATTAAGTTGCATTAATATGACGATATGGTTTTGTAACTTTATGTTATAGTGAATAAAAGTCAATTACTTTAATGTAACAAAAATAGTTTGAATTGTATGGTTATAGTCAGGAAAGTGCAGTGGCTATACGTTACATTAATCTTGATGCCTAATCTGCCATTTCAAAAGAAAAATGCGAAGAATTAAGTGATATCGCCTCCTAACCAAGACAAAAGCCTCAATAGTCCTGACAGCTTAGCTGCCAGATTCAATTCTAAAACTTGTTCCAGAATCCAGAATTTATAGTTTGACACTTCAGTTAATCTTGCATCACGACTCGACACTGGCAAGTAAAAGTTGGCAAAGAGTCAAAGACCCTTCTGGGGCTGTACTGTTCATCGCAAAGTGGAGGGCATGAATTGATATTCCAACGGAAAATCATAGGGATTGAATTTATATGCCTACAGAAAATCACACCACTTGGATTTATATGCACACACTTCTTCATCCAAACATTCTCTGACACATTATCTTGCACGCCATAAGAAATCCGCTCATACTTACAGTATGCGGTTTAAAAAGCAATTTTGTAAAACATAAACACAAACAAAGAAACAATCAAACAATACAGGAATCGGGGAAAAAAATGAAGTCGGACCTCCCTACATACACAATAGAAACGTTTTCTTGCACGCATTGATCAAATCACCAGTCAACTAGTTCCCAGCCCCCGTTTCTTGCCAGACATGCTGATGGAAGTAACTTTCATTGGAGTTGCCACAACCAAAGGAGCTTCTGGGGAGTCACTGACAGCATATTTGTCATGCATGAAACGAGACTCAACAACGGACTCATCCTTTGGCACTATCTTGTAACAATAGCAACTCTTTAGCCCATGCTGATTCTGATAGCAACGGTGAGCACTGTCCTTCACCTGCTGGAAATTCCATATCACGCTAAATTTGCCTACTGCTGCAACCAAGTGGCGTTCTTGTTTTCCACTTTCAGTAACCTGGAAAATGACATACAAGGCAGGTCAGGTTATTCACTTACTTTCGGCTTAAGGAAGAGCAAAACACAAGCATGCAGTTACTACAGTATACACCTACATCAGAGAAGATAAAAACATATAAAAGTGTAAAACCTTCCAGGACAAACAAATTTCTCATGCAACAAACATTAATCAGATGTTCAGTGGATCTGGTGCAAGTTGTAACTACAGTCAAATTCAAGTTATACTTCTGTCATTCGACAGCTGTGGGAGAGGTCATTCCATGCCAATGAACTGCTGCAGCACGGTAACAAAAGATGGTAGGCAGCTAAAGAAGAGGACTCCCAGTGGTATAGACAAATGTGAGAAACTTGCTAAGACAAAGAAGTGCAACAGTCCACCACTCTATTGACAACTTCCATAATCTGTTTCAGAATGTAGAAACAAGTATCCCATAGCCTAACAAAATATGGAAGCAAAGAAGATATTGCACTGTCAACTATTTCAGAAATTGCTAGTTTCAGGGTTTCAGCAGCCAATCGGAGTTCTCACCTTGAATACATAAGCTTTTATTGGAGAAAATACGTTTTTTCACCAACCAAGAAGTAGATTTTTAGTACTCCTACGCTAGAGGCATTAAGTTTGAAAATATTTCCCATTGGTTAATCATCCTGAGAAAGAGATCTAACTTTTTTTTGCAGGAAACTTTTAGTCATCTGGTTCATTCAGAACAGATAAATTGGTCAATATACAAAGAAAAGAAGGATTACAGCCACTATAAAGAATAAATTGAGGCTGATGACTAAAAGGATCGAGATTTAAATTGCAGCGTAGTGGAATCTGAGGTGAGAAAAGCTGATTAGGAAATCATATTTCGAAGAAGCTATATATTGTATACAAGGAAAATGAGCAATCATCATGGATGCAGTAACCTCCAAGCTATGGCAGAAAGCAGGTTGTGAACATCACATATGCTAAACTTCCATAACTTTATCGCAAGAGGCAACAAAAAGAAGCTATAGTAAAGCTTTAAACGTATAATATATGAGACACTTGAGGAATAGCCTCTCCGGCAAACAAGAAAAAAAAATAACCAGTGCGAAAGTGCAATTACGTATGCCGTAATCATTACAGTCCAAGGCCTTTTCTTTGTTTTTGTTTTTGATAAAAGTTATTATGGTCCAAGGTCATTGCATTTACTAAAGTTGCATAAGAGCCTATAAGGAAGGAGCAACAACCAACTTATATGAACTCACAACACAGAGGGCAGCTTTCATGGAGTTAACAATGTATAGCCTCTTCAACAAACAAGTAACATGACAATAGCAATTATCCATAGAGTACTTATATGTTAAGCAGCTAAATAAATTAAGCATGCTTACCCATGAGAAATGGCCACCATGGAACTTGTTATTTGCCCCAGCCATATGTGCATCAACTGGAGTCAGCTTTAACAATCTGGGGGCAGGGATTTTATTTCCCATTCGACCAGTAAAACCCGTTTTGGTCTTCCCATCCTTATCAGTAAACAAACTGCATATCAAGATCAAATATGTATCTGTCGTGCCAAGTATCCATTTGCCATCATAAGTAACGTCAACATGTGTAATCGGAGAGCCAAGCCCAGGGAATGCAGTCTTTGCTTGCCTCATCGAGGTCTTCGAGTACAAACGAATCTTCCCATCAAGTGATCCAACTACAATGGAGCCATCACCAGTCGTGGCAAAGCATTGAAAATTTGTCCCTCTAGAGAACTGATGCCCTTGGGTCCAATGCAACACAGGAGAACTCGTATTGGCTAACGTCTGAACAATTCCTTTCTTATCGCGCATGTCCCACTGACACAGCCGGTTATCATCCAAGCCCAAAAATGTCGATTCGGAAGGATCCAACTGAGACCCTTTGGTATCATTTGTTATATCCTTCATGGTAATATCAGTCCCGTCCTTCTCAAACTTCCATTCAGTGACAATCTTCCCGGTCTCAATATCCAATTGGTGAATCCCCGTAGATCGAGGCTTCCCTTCCTTAAAAGGGCTCATTAGCATCATATTAGTTTCTCCACGCATCAAAAGAGCCTTTTTTGGGGTTGAACTTCCCCTCTTATCCTTTTCATCAAATTTAACATAAACACCTTTCCCATGGATCCCATGGCTGAAATTTTTCACAACTTGCACCCCTGAATCATTCACAAGAAAACTATTATCCAAAGCCCCTAATGCCAGACTCTGTATTCCTCCACCAGTAGCAGCTTCCTCAAACTCCTCTAGCAAATCTTGGCTATCCCTCACCGGCGTCATGGGACTCTTCCCACTACCCCTCCACACTCCAGAATCTGCATCTTCCCACATTGCATCATCTGATTCCTCAGGTCTTAACCATCCAATAAATTCCTTTCCGTAAATTTTCACTTTATTTGCCTCTGTAGCCTCCATTCCATACACATTCTCAAACAAACAGTCTTGAAACTCACTAATAAAACTCCTGTACTCCTCATCCGCAAAGAATTTCAAAGCCCATACTCCTTTATCCACGAAATCAACCCTCCTCTGATCTCCAAACATTTTCAACTGCATATCAGTCGAAACCCTAGCCCTAATTTTCTTCCCCACCTGCAGAACCCAAAACCCCTCTCGACTTGACAATTCGTAATCATCGTCTTCATCATCACCGTCGATTTTCAACGTTTTAACAAATTCATAGTACGCTAGCTTCTGAGAGGTTATCCATTTGGCTTTCGGCGTGTTACCGCCGACATGCAAGTACAATTTAACGGCGTTTTTTAGATTTGACGGCGTTTCAGCTGAACCGTACTTAAGTTTTAGTTCTTTGAGTTTAGAATCGACTTCGTCTAGGGTTTTGCTACTCACCGGTGGAGTCCTCGTTGAAGCGTGATAGTCGGCGGCATCTTCGTATTGTTCTTCACTTTCCGTTTTGGTGCTTTCCTCGTCGTCATCGTAATCTGAATCGTCGGAAAGTTCTAGACCTTCACGACTGTGAGAAGCTCCCATGATTACGGTGTTCCGAGCAAATGATCGCTGGAAAAGTAGAGTTTGAATTTGTTTTAAGGAGAGAAGGAAAGGAATCACAAAAATTGAAATTCAGAAGCGGGGAAAAGTGGAAAAGATAAATCCGGAATAGGGAATTTGATTTGCTTTATTTGGAAAGAGTACAAGTCAAAGATGAAGAAAAATGGATATATATATTTGCTAGTTGGCGTACATCTGACGGTTACACGTAGCTTAGTCGTTAAGTAAATGGCGGCACTCTTTCCGTTATTGCGCGTAAAAAACTCTGGGCTTACTCGGCCATAATCCAATCTTTGAGGGCCAACTTTCCAAGGAGAATATTGGGCTCATATAACGAATTGGTCTGATTTTCTTTTGGGAATCTTACAGAAATATCCAAAAAAAAAAAAAAAAAAATTCCTAACTTACCAACCTCTAGTCATTGATCATAGACTTATCAAAACTAGCCAAAAATATATAAAAATTAAAAATCAAAGAAATAAAGTTCTTTCTTTCCAAGAATCACACACAAAGATCTCCTTCCATATTTTTAAGCGTGATTAGTAACATTAGGAGCATGTTTGGAAAGCCACATTGGATTTGGATTTGGGTGTAATTACACAGTTTGGCATGTTTGTTTGGCCAAGTAATTACTTGATCAGCATGGAAT